ATACTAGCAAGTCCTGCCATTTGAAAATGGCAGGACTGAAATAAGAGTCGCGTGTAAATCAATGTAGAGTTGCAGTTGCTAGGTAACAGACACAGCAAGCTATAAAATTGCGTAAATATAACAGAATGCGAAAAACTTTTTAAAAAATAATAACGAAAAAGACAAGAAAATGAGACAAAATAACAATATGATAATGATAAATTTTTAAAGCTTCAAGATAAATAAAGCAATGTTTTAGTAAGGAAATTTTGGGAAATTTTTAGTCCTGCTGGGCAGGACAAGCAGGACCGCTAGCTACGCCACTGGTCTCAGCTGATGCATTTTTATAGCAGAAATAGACGCACAGAACGATTGCTGTTTGTATAGCTTAATTGTTACATGTTAAAAAATTATATTAATAATAAAGTAAGCAGCCCTTGCTGGGCTCATAGGACACCAGGAAATACTAAAAGCGAATCTAAGATCCATGCAATATATCAATAATTTGTGCCACTGCTGGAGCACAGCTACTTGAATTTTCCACAAGAATGGATGCCACTGACCTTCACAAATGGAACATTTAAATTATATTCAACATAACTATAAAATTATTTTCACTTAAATCTAGCATTAGTGTTACACTGTAAATCATCCATAATTATCACAGGTGTACAGAGAGTACACTTTTCAACCCCCTCCCTCCCTCCAACAGCGACTTAACCGATGATGGTGGGTCTATAGTTCAACATTTTAAAAAGCGCATACTGGTTATGAACTTGCCTACCTGAAGCGTATAGTTTGTACACTTCAGGAAATGTTGGTAGTTATGGATGACCCATAATTGAATTTCATTAGCCTTTACATCATTGTGAATTACCATTTGCATGCATGTAACACTAACGGCATGATCTTTATTCTATACCGTATAGGAAAAATTGAACACATCTGTCCTGCAGAGCTAGTTCAAATTTACATTAGCAACTATTGAATCAGTGAGGGAGGTATAATAAAGCAAGCGTTCAAATAAATGCAGCCAAATCAAAATTGTTTGTCTCCACACTGCACTTCCTCGTAAATGGACCGTTCAATGAGAACAAATGTTGTGGACAACTGTGGTTTGGACATTGCAGGCTGGCTGCACATTTTGCAATGATGTACATGCAGGAGAGCAGTTGTTGAATGAAATGAAATCGATTTCCAAAAAGCTCCAAGGCTTACTTTTTGAAATGACTGAGAATTCATTTTCGATATGAGTGAGAGCTCCTATCAGCCACATGTTAGGATGCGTATTACCAGCTCTTTTCTTTACCTTTGCACAGTACACAGAAGGAAAAACAAAGACCAGATTTTGAACCAAGTAACTTTATTTAACTTAAAACAGCACTGTATATAACTTTAAATATTGTAAAAAATGAAATATCAGTTAAATACTAATTCAGTAAAAATTGTCTTGGTATGGAAATATCTCTTTCTGTTGTATATGCATTGTTCAATTGCCATGTCACTTTCTTGAGTATTACCAGAATATTAATAAGTATAGTTGAGCCAGCTTCCTAATATTATGGAATCTAGGATAGTTGTTGACTTTGCGGTTTTCCGGCTTAATAACCTCGTATTAGCAACATTCCTACATGTGAAGACTAACAGCATCCCCATTAAGTTGTACATATACAGTTGCAGTCTTCTTGACAGTCCTTGTTTTATCCATATTGATGTTTGAGAAGCATGAATATCTAAAATATAATACAATTGATTTGCATTTCATTTCATTTCACAAACTGGAAACCTAAATCTATATGTTACACTAAATCTATCCAATTAATTTATTAACAGTAGATTTATTTCTAATTGAGGCAGAAACATACTTACATAGGTTACATTTGAACAAAACTATCTCTAAACTGGTTGGCAATCTTTTAGTTTTACTGATTCACCATTCAGTGAACAATATAAACTCGCAGCACAAATGAAATTTTTGCTGTCTGAAAGGGGATGGGGAAATGCACTTTTATAATAGTAAAATGTAATAGGATGTGCAAAAGGAAAGGGAGTTCTAACCTCCTATGTGAGAGCTGTGGATCTAAGGCAAATTATTCCACATGTAATGCTCCAAGGGAATAAACTACAAATTACAATATTATTATATACCAGAATATTTATAAACATGCGATAATTTTTAGTCAAAATAACTTGAACAAGTGGAACGTTCACAGTATAAAAATATTAAAATGGATCATTTAGTGATGAGATTATGGCCCACTAGTAAATTTTCATTATCGAAATATAATTTCTCAAAACTAAGCGCTTTAAAAAATATACTTTTTAGGCATATTAGCCCAGTCATAGGGCCATTATATGTTGAATGATAATATAAATAACAATATATTGTAGTTACAATTACCTTCACAGTGACAGCGCTGTCAGACTGCCAGTGCAAGCAAGCCGTGAGACATGACAAACAACGCGGATTCTTCGGCCAGGAAGATAAAAATTAGACGTGCTAGCTTCTTGTTATTTTCTCTCTCTAGACATCTTAATTTTTGAAGAGAAATTACTTACCTAGAGGTATATTTTAGCCAAAAAAATACATTTCCAAACTGAAATATTTCATCTCAAGAAGGCCATGAAAAATTTGTACGCCAGCAATGAATCGGTCAGCGCCAAGGCAAATTCGCTTTTGCGCATGCACTAAAATGTCCATGAATCGTGGAGATTTTCGCAGCCTTTACCAGGGTCTTCTCATTTTTCACGCGCCATGCACGAAGAAGACCCTGGGGACGAGGTTGCATAGAGATCGTATTTTTTATTCCTCCTCAGGCATTTTGATGGTTTAGCCTGCGAATGGGCGGGCACTGCTTCCCATAATGCCATGGTGTCTTGAAATACGAGGAAGGAGGAAAAATATTTTGTTGCTTAAATTTGTGTACGAAAGATCTTGATATTGCTGTTTTTATACCAGTGCATTGGTGTTTTATTGAGAAAAATGTATTTAAAACGGGAAACAAATTGTTCAACAGTTGTCCAAGATGCTAAAAGCGTATGAAAAGGTATGAGAAAGACGCGGATTGAAAAGGATTCAACTACCCATAAAGTGCAAGTAAACTGTAAACTTTTTTGTACTGTTAATTGTACAGAAGAATTTTATATTGTCATCTTTATTTTTTTATACAGCGAGCTTACAACAAGACTAAAATGCGAAGAACACAGCTTCGTTTAACAGAAGTTTATGACGCTGTTTCAGCTTTCCGCAAGGTAAAACTTTATATTCTCGTGTCCTTTTATATCTTTTATTAAATGCTGGTGTTTTATTAACTGCGATGAGAAATCAATTTGTTACAGTAATGGAATAAAATTGTTTCATAGTTGTGTCCAACATTCTAAAAGCGTTTGAAAAGGTTAATTAAACTGAAAAAAGTTTTTATTTCTTTGTATATTTAAATTAAATATTACAAATCTTTTTGAAAATCGCATCACAGACACATTACAGAGATCGTATTTATGACTCCTCCTCAGGCATTTCTATGGGTTTTAGCCCGCGAATGGGCGGGGCCACTGCTTCCCACAATGCCATGTTTTCTTGAAACACGAGGAAGAAGGAGGGAAGTTATTTTGTTGCTTAAACTTACGTACGAAAGATCTTCATATTGGTGTTTTTATACCAGTGCATTGGTGTTTTATTGAGAAATATGTACTTAAGATGCGAAAAAAATTGTTTAGCTGTTGTCCAAGATGCTAAAAACGTATGAAAAGGTATGAGAAAGACTCGGATTGAAAAGGATTCAAGTACCCATATTGAAGTACAAATAAACTGTAAACTTTTTTGTACTGTGTACAACAGCTTTTTATATCGTCGTTTTTATTTTTTTGTAGTAGTATTCAAAGCTGGAAAGAAGATGCAAAAGCAAAGGCGAAAGCAAGATGGTTTAAGAGAATTCAAATATTTCTTGAACACAGTTTGAAATGTTGAATTTTTCGCTTCGAATTTTCCAGCATCTTGGCGAAGCCACACTCGATTTCAAAGAAGAATGCTTTATAAAAGAACGCATTTTTGAGGTATATTTTTGGTTATTCTTGTTGTATTTATATATATAAAGCTTACATGTAGTTGCATGAATAGTTTATATAACGAGTATTTGAAAGAAATGTTTGTGAAAAAACAAGAAATTTTGCGTTGAAATTAGGTTGCAGTATTCACACGTGTCGGAAACGACAGAAAGGAAGATATAAAATAGGTTTCATGGCTTTACATACAATTCTTAGTTTAACCCAATGAGTCACATTGTGCCCTGATGCACCTACTTTATTATTTTACTCTGTCTAATGTCAGATGATTTTACTTGTCAAGGGGAGAGCGCATTCTCGTACCCAGAGCCCTTCTTACGCACGTTCGACCGAGCCCAATGAGGGGCTCTGGCCAAATCCATATCAAACTGGCTTCTGATTGTGACGTCTCGTCTTCATATCCGTAGCCATTACTGCTTTGGCAACGTTTAAGAGGGAAATATATACTAAATTTTTATCAACATGCATTGAGAACATCACGTCTTACCTACTAATTGATTTAAATAAATAAAATTAGCGAAACCTACCGCTTTTGTGGGGTTTTCCTGGAGAAAAACTTTCAAAACGAAACAAACAAGAAAACCGAAGTGTTTATCCGCATTTGACGTTGAGCATGCACAGTGTTTAACCGGATACCGTGTTTTTATGGTATCCGGTTATGGATTTTGCCAGAGCCCCTCGTCGGGCTTGGTCGAACACGCGTAAGAAGGGCTCTGGGTACGAGAATGTGGAGACAATTAATGAACACCCTGGGTTCCAGTCTTCTGACGAACGTTGGACTATAAATAGAACGCCCTAGTCAGCCCGATACGAAAACTCTGGAAGAAGCGATCTGGAGAGAAAAAGTGACTATATATCAAGAAGTTTATTTTAAAATGAGTGAAAGTTTTGCCTGAAACAAAAACGCTGGAAAACTTGAAAGAGTTTTATTTTTCTAGTTTAGAAGGTTTAATTTTTCTGTTTTAATATGAGTGTAAGTTTTACTTATATTTTGCATTTGTATGCTTTATTGTACTTGTATGATTATTACATGTATTTTGTATATTGTGTGGCATACAAGGATTAAATAGAACACAGTTAGTAAAATATAAAATGGCGTTGAATCTGAAGAAATGACTATCACAAGCGGGTGTCCCGCAGAGATCAGTATTGGATCCTAAATTATTTCTTTTATACATAAAAGATATTCAGTATTGCTGTGAATTCGTTTCTATTGTAAATACGTCTATTTTTTATTGATACGATGTAATTTGGGCGAGTTAGTTAATAAATAAATAAAATATTATTCTTGTACAATTAAAAAGCGAATTAATTATCTTTATTTTCAGAGACGTGTTGGTAGACCATCCAGGTTTCTGTATTCAGTGGAGAAAGTCTTGGCCGCCATGGGGTAGGTCCAGAGGGTCTTTGGCCATTCCAGTCCGGCTAAGAATAAAAGTATCAGAACAAATTTGTACATTCGATATAGCCGTGACAGGAGAATGACGTTCTTGTGGCAACCTGAGGTAAGTACTAAATCTCACTGGCATCAACACAAGAAAATTCACCCAACACAAGTATAGCGACTGAATACTGTTGACGTTTATTTCATATTTCATATAAAAGACATTCCAAATTATTATTTTTTAAATTACACCTTGCAAAAGGATATATGTTGGGGCCCCTTTAACTGGGGTTGGGGCAAATTGCACAAAATACACAAATACACAAATACACGTCTAGAAAATCGGGGTTTTTATCATAAAGTTTGAAGCAACGCTATTATTTAATATGTTGACAAGGTGTAGCGAAAGCACAAAATGAGTCAAAATATATACCAAAAGTAGAATCTTTCATGAACTTTTGTCTTATACACAACTACATTAACTCATTAAGCGGCAAGCTGTTACAATGTTTCTACCCGCCTAAGGCGCAAGCAATATGGCGAATATGTGATTGAATTCAAGAGCTTTCACCAAAATGGCAATATCTCAGAAACAGTTGCATAAAAAAATCTGATCTTTTCAACCAAACATTAGTGATATATGATTGACCAAATTTAGTTTAAATGACTTTGCATACCTACATATATCATTAGTTTTTTCAATGAGAATTTTTATTTGTAAAGCAGTGACACTTTGTTTTTCATGTCACTCATCACCTAAAGGGGCAATATCTCCATAAATTTATATAAAAACCAAAAAAAAAATCATTTACTAAATTAGTACATATCTATATTATAACGAATTTTCATCTTTTGGGATATGAATTAGAAAACGATCAAAAATTATAAAAAATACTCATTTGCTTTTTTTGGGCAAGATATTTACAACACGAAATTTAGAACAGCAACTAAGTGTTCAAATTCAACAAAATGTGCAAGCCAAAACACAGTGCTTGTTCATCTTTGGAGTTTTTAATTACCTCAAATATATTTAAAAGGACATATGGTACTAGAATTTATTTATTTTCAATATAAACCACGGATGGGAAGGTGAGAAAATAGGAATTTTCTGAGGTGTTTTTAACACAGACAATGACAGCCGACATT